GCAGCAGCCGCACCTCCTTAGGCTTCCTGGGAGAGCTGGCTTTTTCCAAGACAGGGTTTCTCTGTATAACAGCCCTGGTTGTCCTGGAACTCACTCTATAGGCCAGGGTGGCCTTGAACTCACGGAGATCCACTTATATCCTAGCAGTGGGGGATGTCTGATTTTTGGGACCCTTTCCTCCTGCTGAATTGCCTCTTGAAGCCTTGGAGGAGAGGATGGGGCTGGGGAGGGGGCAGAAAGTGTGTGGGGGTGCTGGGAGGAAGAAAGGAGGGGACTTAGGAAGAGGGGAAGTTTTGGTTAGGATGCAAAACAAGAAAAAAAGAATCACATATAAACAAGAATTGGGATGTGAAGGCAGGACAAAGCTCTACTTTTTCTTTTCTTTGGTTTTGGTTTTGTTGTGAGACAGGATTCCTGTGTGTAGCCCTGGCTGCCCTGGCACTTGCTCTATAGACCAGGTTGGTCTCAAACTCAGGGACCTGCAAGTCTGCTGGGATCAAGGCCTCCTGGGGGCTGTTCCTTTTCTTAACTCAGTCTTTTCTAGGAAGGAAAGAGGGGGGAGGCACAGGGGCTCAAGGGATGACTCTGCTGGTCCTAAATGAAGCTGGGGGTGAGGAAGGAGAAGTCACTTGGGCAGGATAGAGGCACTGGTGTCAAGAGATTCACGTTGCTGTGGATCTCGGATCAGGTCCCTAGTCAATGCAGTTTCCTCTCTGTCCTGTCTCTGCAGTCTGTCAGTTTCCTCAGTGAGTTTGTGAGTGGGCTTCACCTATGGGGGTGGGGGTGGGGGCAGGGGGTAACAGACATGTCAGGATCTACAGAGCAGAGGAGGGGATTATAGAGTATAGAGCTGCCTTGACCCTGCGCTTGCCTCTTCCCTTTCCTCCACATTGCCTTTAGTGGAAAACTCCTATCTTTTTGGTGGGAATATCACAGAGGCCTGTTATTTCTAAATTAGATCGGGGTCTCCAGCCCCAAGTCCTACTCAGAGGTCTTTTTTTTTTTTTTTTTTTTTTTTTTTTTTGAGACCTGGTTTCTTTATGTAGCCTTGGCTGTCCTGGAATTCTCTTTGAAGACCAGGCTGGCCTTGAACTCACAGAGATCTACCTGAGTGCTGGGATGAAATGCATGCTCCTTCATTGCCTGGGACTGGAAATTTCCCTGTGGCCCAGCAGGGACAGGAGTTTGCTTCTTCTTGCTCCCATGACAGTGGGGGGACTGAGGCCAGCTATAAGGGCACAGAGCTGAAAAGGTGGGCAGTGACAATCCTGCTGGTATCCCCTGGTGTACTCAATGTTCCTGGCACAGGAGCGAGCGTGGGGAAGGTCCCATGCTCAGTAGTCCCCTTTGGTGTCGCAGACTGTTTAGCGGACCATTGGTCTGCAGGGAGACCTAACTCGGATATTTAGGTCAGGAGTGAATTTGGTGCGACAGACAGAGTTAAACATAAGAGAGGTTTGTTATTGTTGTGAAATTTTATTTTAGGGTATTAGAATATATACAATCATTTTAAGGAACAAATTTTTTGGCAGGAGTCCAAAAGGTTATAATTTTGTTTAGAAATTATTAGTGTTGAGACAATGGGAATATGAGAACATTAGACATAGACTATATAGGAAGAGAAAATTTTATTTTATGTTTGTCTGTGGTTAGCTTGTTAGACACCTAGTTTTGATATTTATGATGTAGCCTTTACCACAAGTTTTGATTTATAATTTTTAGTATTTTTTTTGGTTTTGGGGTGGTTGAAAATATTATATTTAAGATGATTATGACAAGGAATTTTTTGATTATTTTTAAATATTAAAAACTTATATACTTGCCACCTCAACTGCCATTGCTGTTCTTCAGAGAGGGCAAACCATGGTGCTTGAGCTCTCCTGATTCTTTCCCAGATAGATAACATTGAACTTAACTCGCTTTCCATTCACCATCACCCATCTAACTAGGTCCTTTATCATAAACACCTGTCCAAGGGAGTGGAGCATCTGTGGGACTGTAATGTATGGGTCTCTATATCTGGGAGGCTGCCACCCTTAATCAAATTTCTAGGGAATTGTTTACTCGCCTGTTAATCCCCTTTTTTGTAAATCCTTCATTTCTAATTGCACTTTGTCTTTACTTTTAGTTTCTCTTTTATTTCTAAATTTTCCCTCTATTCCTAACTCAAGTTTTTGCACAACATCTATAATCTTCCCAAATGATACGTTAGAACGTTGAAGCAATTGTAACAGCAACTGCTGCAGGCTATGATTTCAAAGACTAATAGAAGAACACAGATCCATGCACTCATGCACCCAGCACCAGAGCCAAGCAGGAAGCTGATTAAAGGCCTTCTTCTGGGATCATGCCAGGGACCTCCAGAAGGCCTAACCACACGTGGTGCGAACCTTGGGACAGACAGCCTCAAGCTCTCTATGCTCCATGCTGCACCGTCTCCACCGGAGCAGGTGTGGAAATTTTTTTTTTTTTTTACGAAAAATAGTTGGAGATTATGTTTAACAGTGTGTAGTGAGTATAGGATGATTTTTAAAAAGAATTGGAAAAATTAAGCAAAGTAGTAATAACATTGTAGCTCCTACCCTAAGAAATATAAAGTACTGTATATAATTTTATGGATTTAGTGTCTTTAAATTAAAGGTACAAGTAGACGCTAAATTTTTCAAATTTTAAGCGTCTAACTTTTGTTGACTTATGTTTGTAATTTGTTTTTGTAATAATTTTATATTATATGATAGATTTGTATCCTTTTAAATTTTTAATAGATGTGTTTTAGTTTTATTTTAATTTTGGGTCTCATTATAAATTAAAGGTGTAACATATATATATTTATAGTTTGTATGGCATTTGTTGGAAAGTTGTGTTTTTATAAAAAGTTATTAATATTTTGTTTTCATTTTATTACCATTTTTAGTCTTGCTTTTAATTTTAAATTTATTATTTTTTGTTTTGATAAGGCTAAAGTAATGTTTTTAATGTATATATTAATAAAATTAGTTGTTTGTATTTTTTTATTAGAGTTGTGTTAGAGACAGCCTAGACCAGGGCCTGTTATACCTTCTTTGTAAGTTGTTTCGTGTATGTGCACACCATGTGGAGGCTGTAGGGCGACTTTGGCTGCTGTTCCACAGATGTTCTCTTCCGTGTTTGTGGAGGTAAAGTAATTAGCACTGTATATTGAGGCACTGTAACTGGCTTGCCAAATAGGCTAGGCAGGCTGGCCATCAGCCTGTCTCCATTTCCCCAGTACTGGAATTACTAGCACCTATCATCATGCTTAACTTTTGAGACCTGGGTTCTGGAGGCCTGAGCTCAGGGCCTTGCTGCTTGCACAGTAAGTACCTTACTGGCTTCCTCAATCATCTGTAGATTGAGACCATGCATGCAAGGGTGTCATTCTCAACAAAAAAAAAAAAAAAAATCTTTTAGCCACATCGCCCTCTGTCACTCCAAGACAACAGAGTCCTTGCCCCAAGGTCCTCCTTTTCCTGACCCTAGAGAGGTTACCCCACAGATTCCCATGGTAGAGAAAGGCTTTGAAGGGCTGGAAAGATGGCTCAGTGGTTGAGAGCACTTGTTCTTACAGAGGACTTGGGTTTAAATTCACAGCACCCATATTGGCTCACAACTGCCCATAACTCCAGTTCTAGGGAATCTGACACCCTCTTCTGACCTCTGTGGGCACTAGGCACACACATAGTACACAGACAGATATACATGCAAACAAAACATTCATATACATAAAGTAAGTAAATCTTTTAAAAAGTGTTTTATTATTACTATAAAGAAGAATGAGGCTGTGACTTACATTGACAGGTGGCCCACAAGCCTCCCTTTGCTCATATTGTCAGGTCACCCAGCCAGCACAGTACAGCTCTTAGCTCCACTACAGAGGTAAAGCGCTGGGTCCTGCAGGGATTTCTGAGGCTGCAACTTGAATCATAGACACTGAGAAAGCTACTGAAGTGGTGTGTCGGTGACTAGAAACCTGTTCCCAGAAAGGGACAGGAAGTACAGAGAATCAACAAGTAGCTGGGGCATGGAGGCTTTGCCACATGCCATGCTCGATTGGGCCTGTGGGAAAGTGCAGCCAGGAAGACCTGTGCCCTTCCCACAATGGAATCTGTGTGCCTATCAAGAGTTACAATTCACAAACATGGAGGAAGGGCTGGAGCTATTGCTCTTGCTGAAGACCCAAGTTCGGTTCCCAGCATCCACATGGCATGGTATTCACATCTCACAACTGCCTGTAACTCCAGTTCCAGGGGCTGAAACTGACCTCTGAGGCTCATGCATGCATGTGGTACTCATACATACACTTAGGCACACATATTGAAAGAAGGGATGGGGATGGACACAATGAGTGGGAGAAACTGAAAGTTTAGGTCAGTAAAAGGTATCAGGGCAGCCCAGGGTGCATGGACTGTGCTGATAATTGCATTACCTCTCACCAGCCACTGTGCCTTGTCCTGCTAAACAGCAATGCAGGGAAAGTAGCTCATTCCCCTCTGCCTGGGCACCTCAGTAGTCCAATGCATGCCCCTGAACAACGGTGTTTGTTGCCCAGGAAGTAGCAAGTGAGCTTACAAAAGAAAGTGATCTGTTTGTTTTGTTTTGTTTTGTTTTGTTTTCTTCCAAACTTGGAGAAATGCACAAGGACAAGGCAGAAGGAGACCAGTTAAAGGTGACATACTCTGTTGGGACCACATGCCTCTATCCTGGCACAGATGACAGGAATGGAGCAGGTCAGAGAAGTTTCCAAGTAGGTGGCATTTCTGCACCTGGGGTGAGTGAGGTGGGAAGGAACAGGTGAACAAGTGAGCAGGGACAGCAGCCTCAAGGACCAGCCTTTGAAGGGCCACAGTCCTAAGAGGACCATGCTCACAGGTCTCAACATGGCACCATCACCTGACCAGGAGGAGCCTCCAGGAAGGAAGGCAGCAGGGTCACACCAGGAGGCCCCGACTGCTCCTGGGCAGACTTCCCACCCTGAGCCTGGCCATCTGACAGAACCCACCCCTTTCTGAAGGAGAATGTGGAGCCTGCAGCTGAATCCTGAAAACCAGCCATTTCCAGGAACTGAAACTGAAAGCTGCTCTGGCTGCAGGCCCCACCTCTCAGGAGAGGCTGCCAGGGCTCATGCCTACAAGTGAGGAGTTGGAGCAAGGTCCAGAGTGGAGCAGGGTCTGAGAGGAAACCCAGGAGCCCAGGCTGCCCTTCAGCTGCCCCTCACTGTGATCTCTTCCTCCTGACCATCCCGGGCCTGGATTCCACTTTTATAAGGTAGGTAGGTGGGAGGCTCCTAAGTGCAGCTTGGCCTATTAACCTGCTCAGGGCAGGAGAATCTGGGGTCTGGTGTTCCTGTCAGGGATCTCGTGCAGGAGGCACCCTCTCTGATTATCTTTGGAACCACACAGTACCTCATGTTTTGGCTGTAGAGTCCTTCCAAGCCACCAACAGAGGGGCAATGTGCCCTGCACATCCCTGGTTTGCAGGTCTTCTGATGGGGCCTAGATTAGAGAAAGCAGGTTGGGTTTCTCTCATATTCTCTCAGCCACTCTATTGATGTTCCCTTTGGGGGCCAGAGTCCAGGGTCAGAACTTCCCACTGGCAATATTGGGAAGTCCTGGAATTACATGTAATTCTTGTGGAACACACAGGGACTAAAACTTCTGGCTTGCATGCCTGGCTTCTTAAGTGATCGTTTGTCCACCTCAGCAGAAAAGCTGGCTCTTCAGCAGGGTGCTAACATTCATCTTTAATCTTTCAGAAGAGAATACAACAAAACACAATTGGACAGAACACAGTAATATAGAGCAGACCAACATGCAGCCACATAAACTGTGAATATGACTTTCTCATGCAGGTGTGAGAGTGTGTTGCTTGTGTGTGTATGCATGTGTGTGTGTGCATGTGTGAGTAACTGTGTGCATAAACTTGGGTGTGCTTCCTAGTGCCTGTGTGTCTGTGGGGGTGGTTCAGAGGCTGGTGTCGGGTGTCAGGATGTCTTCCTCGGTCACTCTCCCCTTTATTTTTTGAAATAGAATCTCTCAATGAAACTTTTGGCTAGATTAGCTAGCCAGCAAGCCCCATGTGATTCTTCTGTCTCCACATCCCCATTGTGGGTGTTTTAGACATGAGCTATCAAATCTGGTTTATTTTAAGTGAGCATTGGGGATCCAAACTCACATCCTTCTGCTTGTGAGGCAGGCACTTTCCTCATTGAACCCTCTCTTTTATCCTATTCCTCCAGAGCATTTAAAGAGATCTAGATCCCTTGCAGGATAATGGTCAGCATTAGACCAATCAGAAGAATGATCAGGAATTACCTTGTGTAATTCAAGACTTCTTTCTTTTCTCCTTCTTTCCTTCTTTCCTTCCTCCCTCCCTTCCTTCCTTCCTTTCTTCTTTCAAACAGTTCATGGAGGCTTTTTACTTATGTATTTTTACATCTTTATGAAAAGAATCGCAGGATTTTCCCTCTTGTATATTTTTTGTCTTGCTCCTACGTGGTCTATGAAGGCAAAGGTTGTCAGTACAATAAAGCCAAACTGACAGGATGAGAACAGATTGTTTGGCTTGTTTTTCTAGGTCTTTGAGTTATACATCAAATCTAGGGTTGTCACTCTATACTTGTTCAACCTGTCTGTGAGGGTCACAACAAATTTCCCAGCTCTGTGATCATCAGTGATTTAAAATTTACCAATGCGACCATCTTCATCATTAGTTAGGAACAGAATGGTGACTTAGAGCAGGGCCTGATGAGGGCCTGGCGTTTGCCTCTCTTCTCAGCACTGTTGGTGTTCCTGAGAGCATCTTCTGGGGCAATCATGTGCACCATGGTGTGGAAAGATGGCAGAAAGAGCTCCTTATTGGTTTCTAACAATATGTTTCTCCATATGTAATATCATTTTTTCTATTACAGGTGTTGTAATAGGTTTGAAGAAGATTAAAGATCATTAAGACTTGTAAGAGACCCACAAAGTTCATGCCCACGGACATAGACCTTCACACTGCATAAAGTTGAAGGGAGAAAGAAGAACCAGAGGAACGCCAGTACAGAGGTCTGACTAAGGAGCCTTCACCCAGACAGCATAGAGCGTCCCTTGGATTCAGTCATGATGTGGCCATCCAAGGTCTGGGAGGTGGGTAGCATGCTTGCCCAATGCAGTCAGAAACCTGAGACCTCAGAAACTTGTCTGGGTTGCAATGGGCAGGGTAATTCTTCAAACACAGGTAGGGGCTCTTGGCTGATCCCCTCCGTGTGGAACTCATGTCCAGGCCCAAGGACTGTGCAAGGAGCAGTAGCAAGTGTTTTGGGAGTCCAGCTGGACCCATCCCAGGAGGGGACCAAGGGGAGGAAGTTCCAGGAAAGGAGGGGCCATCCCAGGAGAGGACTGAGTCGGGAGAGGCCACTCCAGGAGAAGAGAAATGGAAAAGCCACCACCTGGTGGGGAAAGGAGGGAGGCCATCCCAGAAGCCAACTGAGGGGAGAGGGCATCCCAGGAGAAGAGAAAGGGAGAAGCCACCCCCAGGAGGCAGGTGAGGCCACCACAACACTCAGAAGCTCTACCCTGGAAGTCATCCCACAGAATAGTAGGCCTTATGTGGCAGACACTAGGGCACTTCAGTGTTAGGACAGGACAAGTGTTTAGTTGCTTCATGGGATCCTAAGGAGTGGGTCTGGCTGGGAGCTCTTCATGGATCTGATATACACTGTGTGGATTAAAGAGATGGTCTTGAGGGCCAAGTGATAGTGGTGCACTGCTTTAATCCCAGCACTTGGAAGGCAGAGGCAGGCAGATCTCTGTGAGTTCAAGGCCAGCCTGGTCTACAAAGTTCCAGGACAGTTAAGGGTGTTACACAGAGAAACCCTGCCTTGAAACAAACAAACAAAAGAATTTTTGTTTTTGTTTGTTTATTTGCTTACTTGCTTGTTTAATTTTGAGACAGGGTTTCTTTGTGTAGCCCTGACTGTTCTGGAACTCAGAGATCTGCCTGCCTCTGCTGGGATGAAGAGCATTTACCACTACATGTGACTGAGTTGGCAATATACACAGAATGGATTAGATTTTCTCCTGCCTCCAACCCCAAGTGCTGGGAATACATGTGTATGGCATCATGCCCAGTTACTATGTCATGCATGATTGACCCTAGGGCTGCATGCATGCTAGGCAAACACTTCCATCAATGGAGAACACCCCAGCCTCTTGGACTTAATTTTTAAAACATTGGTGGTAATGCACAAAAAAAGAGTTTTGTTTTCCTTGCAATTCCTCCTTTGTTCTTCCTTTAAAGGAAATAAGAGCTAGTGTATTCTGGAGCCACTTTGAGTTACCATGGCCCAGGAATAAAGATTTAGGTTACCCCACCTTCATGTTCTAACATGGAAGCTTCATGAAGTTTTTATAGTTTTACAGAATAACAATAACAACAACAAAAAGCCATAGATCAAAGTAAATTTAAAGTACATTGGTGGGTACATCAGAGAGGCAGTTATAGCAAGATGGGAAAAGCTTTTCTATGATCTTGAATACAACCCACTATGTCACCCCACCCACCTCTCATTACAATCCTGAGTTACATGGTAAGGATTCAGCCAGCCCCTGATTGCAGAATAGTTCAAATCCTCATATTAGTACCAATGTCAATGCACAGGGACCCACAAATCTTACTGAATTCTAAGAATCAGTAGGTTTGGGATGGAGAGATGGCTCAGCAGTTAAGCACACTGGCTGCTCTTGCAGAAGACCTGGGTTGAATTCCCAGCACCCACGTTGTGGCTCAAAACTGTCTGTTACTCCCCTCTCAGGGGAATCTGACACCCTCTTCCAGTTTCTGAGGACAGAAGATACACACATGGTACACAGACATACACTCAGGAAAAACATGCATGCATACAAATAAATCTAAAAATCAAACAAACAAAAAACCTGAATCATTAGGTTATTTGGGAAGTTTCGTTTGAGCTGTCTGCAGGTAGTTACTGATGAATGGTATCCCAATTTTCATAGTATGATTAGAAGTAATTAATTTCTTTGGGCTGGGGAGATGGTTCAGTCAGTAGAGTCCATGAGAATCCTGAGTTCAATCCCCAGAACCCACATGAGAAAAGCTGAGCATAGGCACACAACTTTAATCCCAACATTCAATGAAGTAGATGAACTTCTGTGAATTTATGAACAGCTGGGACTACAGAGTGAGTTCCAGCACAGCCAGGGCTACACAGTGAGACCCTGTTTAAAGAAAAGCAAGCAAGCAAACAAACAAACAAAAAACAAAACAAACAACAACAACAAAAAGTGTAGGTATGGCAAAATGGGTTTGTAATCCCAATGCTGGGAGGTGGAGACAGGATCTCTGGGACTCCCTGGCCAACCAGTCTAACCTAATTAATGAACCACAGCTTCCAATGAGAGACCATCTTAGTAAACAAACAAGGGCTGGAGAGAAGGATCAGTGGTTAAGAGCACTGGCTGCTCTTCCAGAAGATCAGGGTCCAGTTCCCAGAATCCATGAAGCAGCTTACACTCCAGCAAAGCCAACACCGTTTCTGGCCTCCCAAAGTGTCAGGAACACATGTGCACACATATACACATAGGTAAAACACCCATACGCATAAAAGTAAAATAATTTAACAACAAACAAGGTGAGTGGACTCCTCAGAAATAACACCCAAGATTGACCCTTGGCCTACCCACCATCCCATGCACATATACACATGCACTTGTGTGCAATGCAGACACATACAAACAAAAAATTAATATTTATTTTGGAGGCAGGGTCTCACTATATAGGCTTGGCTGACCTGGAACTTGCTGTGTAGGCCAGCCTGGTCTGAAACTTGCAGAGGTTCACCTGCCTCTGCCTCTGGAGAGCTGGGATTATAGGTGTGTGCCACCACACCAGGCTAAATATTTGACTCTTAAAGAGAAGCTCAGTGAATGGCTGGCTGGGGAGAGCTGGCTTTTTCAGGGGTCAGACCTGCCCACCCATTTTCCCATTGAAGGGCCCAGCTGACATTCTGCAGCTCGGGTTCAAACACCTTCAGTGCAGCTGTAACTATGCACTGTGAAGGGCTGTAGAGCAACCCCATCCCGAAGGAGGTGCCACACTGTTCAAGTGAGGTCTCAGTGGCAGATCTAAAACCCATGACTGGGGTATGTGACTTCTGTGGATTCCTGTGTCATCCTGTGTCTTCTTGTCTCCTGCAGCATTTTACATATTTCATAAACATGGTAAAATCCTTCATCATCAGTCCATCGTCTAAATCCATCACTGCTAGTGAGTCCTTCTATACCAACCAGATCCTTTACTCTCAAGAAGTCAATGAGAAAATCGAGCAGGCAGTGAAATCGGGGAACCTCTGGAATGTGATCTGTGTGGTCAGATATATAATACAGAATATGTCTAGAAACCCAGTAAGAATTGCTATGACTGGAGACTCAGGCAATGGCATGTCATCCTTCATCAATGCCCTTAGGCTCATTGGACACGAGGAAGAGGATTCAGCTCCTACTGGGGTGGTGAGGACCACCCAGGAACCAGCACAGTACTTCTCCTCCAAGTTTCCCAATGTGGAGTTGTGGGACCTGCCTGGCACAGGGGTCACAGCCCAGAGCATGGAGAACTACCTGGAGGAGATGAAGTTAGACAATTATGACCTTGTCATCATCATTGCTTCTGAGCAGTTCAGTTCAAATCATGTGAAGCTGGCTAAAGCCATGCAGAGGATGAGAAGGAGGTTCTATGTTGTCTGGACAAAGCTGGACAGGGACCTCAGCTCAAGTCCCCTCTTAGAACCCCAGCTACTGCAGAGTATCCAAAAGAATATCTGGGAGAACCTGCAGAAGGAGAGGGTGAAGGAGCCCCCCATATTCCTGGTATCCAACTTTGACCCTTTATCACATGACTTCCCAAAGCTTAGAGACACACTGAAAAAAGATATCTCCAATATCAGGTATACAGATTCCTTAGAGACCCTTTCTGGCATCTGTGACAAGAGCATCAACCTCACGTCTTCTCTGAAGATAACTATGAGCCACATGTATGGTACTGATGACCTCCAGAAGAGCTTTGAAACCTACAAGAAGTCCTTTGGTGTAGACGATGAGTCACTTCAGCAGTTGGCTCAAAGGACAGGGACACTGGAGATGGGTTACCGAGCCATCCAGTTCCAGGACTTGCATAAGATGGATTGGAGGCTGAAGTTCTTGATGTGTTTTCCTGTGGACATGTTCTTCAAGTTTCTTGCATACTGGTGGTGGTTTGGCTTGTGGAACTTTGTTGTCCGTAAATTCAGACACCAGAGACAGAGGCTCATCATTGAAATAGTTACTCAGGACACCAAGACCTTCTTGAGGAGAGTCCTGAAGGACAATATCTTCCCTACTGAAGTCCTTTGAGGAGGATCTGACTTTACTCTCAAGTGAAATTCAGGCTGCCTCAGAGTATTCTTTTTCCTTAAGACCCTAGCCATCCAATAGAAATCAATAACTGTAGCAACTCATTGTAACAAGACTTAGTATTGTTAGAGAAGTTAAGAAAAATTGTTCATCTTCCCACACTCAACTCTAATACACTGTTCCTTTAAAGAACAAGTAGCCGTCAAGATAATAAGCCATGTTTTCCTAGCCTAGCACATAGCTTTGATGTTTCAGTTAGTTTCATTGTGATGCATGTTTAAATCAAATGGTCCCCCCCCCAAACTATTAAAGTTGCCTTCATTAATGCTGTCTTATTCTTATCTTTATCATTCTCTAGATACCCCTGGTGTTGCCTCAACTGGCACAGGATAAAACTTACAAATTTGGAGGGTGGAGAGGATGGTGGAAACTGTCCCTTAAAATCTACTGTGTGTCCATGTGTGAGTGCATGTGTAAGTGCATGTGTGTGGTTGCATGCATACCATAGTGTGTGGAGTTTATTTTCTTCCAAAGCTTCTAGGTTCTGGGGATTGAAGTCAAGTTGTCATGCTTGGTAGCAAGCACCTTTACCTGCTGAGCCATGTTGATGGCCTGCTGAAAATGTCTTCAAGGAGATCACCAAGGCTGTTGAGCCTGTCCCAGCACAGGGAAGAGTGGATTCCTCAAGGCCCAGATATCAAAGTCTTCATCTATTTTCTTGTGCTACAACACAGTACTTGAGTTTAAGCAATATAAAAGGAAATAAAGTTTATTATTCTGGAGCCTGGGAGTTCCCATCAGGTTGGCCTCTGGTGAGGCCATAACAATGGCAGGAGCTCATGTGGGAGAGAACAGAATATAAGAGATCCAGGGGCCGGGAATTGACCACAAGACAAGAATCTGAGCAAGTGGCAAATTTTATTTTTCCACCCGGAGCTTATATAGTCAGCAGAGCAAGGATGTAGGAAAGAGGGCACAGAGGTAAGAGAATGGTTGAGGACCAGGTGTTCTTTCAAGCAGCTGAATCCTAAGGAACCTGATTGGTCCCTTCCTAAAGCAATGACACTATGGCATAAATATCTTCCTAGCCCACACATCTATGTGTGTGTGGAGGAGGGGCGTGTGTGTGCTCCTGCAGGAGAGATGGAGGTGAGGGGGAGAGAGAGAGAGAGGGAGGAAGGGGAGGAGGGGGAAGGAGAGAGAGATTTTGTTGTATGTGGGTGGAGATGGGAGAGGTCCCCAGGCCTTAGCACAACTGACCCCATGATGGAAGAACCATTCAGGTCATAAAACTCAGCACATAGACAGCATGACCTGCCAAAGACCTCATCCGTCAAAGTAATAGTTCTGGCAAAGTCTCTAAATTATTAACCTTGATGTTTGGCTCCTGTAGTTCCACTTCTGGCTAGTGGTCCCACAGTGTTTCTCTGTGTAACAGCCTTGGCTGTTCTGAAAGTTGCATTTTAGTCCAGGCTGGCCTTGAACTCAGAGATCCACTTTCCTCTGCCTCCTGAGTACTGGGATGAAAGGGGTGTGCCACAATGCCCAGCCTAGCTAACTATTCTTATTAACTGAAGTATGTCAACCCAGGATATAGTTTTTGTACTTAAAAACTTACCTTGAGAAAGGCTCTGGCCACTCCTGAACACACGGTACAGTCAGCATCTGGCTGATTGGCTATGGAGGACATAGAGGATGGAAATGAGTTTCAGCTCGCTTCCATTTGTCCTTAGCTGGGTCATGCTTGATAGGTTTTTCAGTAAGAAGCACTCAGAAGTTTTGTTTTTGTTTGTTTTTTGTTTTGTTTTGAAGTCTTGCTGCTGCTGCTGTTTTGAGGCAGGGTCTCATGTATCCTAGGAGACAGTGGAAGATGACCTAGAATTTCTGATCCTCCTGCCTCTACCTCTCAAATGTAGAATTACAAGCTTGTGTCATCATGCCCAGTTGTATACAGTACCAAGGATGGAGCTCTGGGCTTTGAGCAGGGAGAGCACCCCGCCAACTGCCCCACACCCTCAACTCTCCAGGGCTCTTTGTAGGACATATTGCTTACCTGCAGAGAGAAGTGAGCTTGGTCCAATTCCATTCTCTTTTTATTTGTCATTTGAGACAAGGTCTCACTCTATAACCCTGGCTGTCCTGGAACTCACTCAGTAGATCAGGCTGGCCTTGAGCTCCACCTGCCTCTGCCTCCAGATCTCAGCCCTCACTTTGTGTCTGTAAGCTCACACAGAAGAGCAAGGGTGGTTCATCTAGATGCGCCCTCTGGTTCAGGGACAGGCACAGCACAACCTGCTAGTGTAGGCGGCCTGGCTGTCTGTGAAGAAAAGTGCTGCTGCACAGTCCTGGGCTGGGGTGACTTCCCCAGGAGGGTCCCTGGCCGTCCCACACTATTATCTAATATCAAAGTATATTTAGCAGCCTGGGCTGATTTTGTCCCTTTCTAACTTTGTCCCTCAGCTGTTCCGTGTTTCCTAACGCCTTATTGACATCTGCAGTTTCTCTGAAAAGCAGCAGAAAATAAACTGCTGTGTCACTCTGTTATCTTTCTATTATGTTTTTATTTTGTCACCCTGCTACCATTGTTTTCCTGCCCCCTTTCCTGTCTACAAATGCCCTACATATATTTTTGTTTATTTTTTATTTTTTAAAGGTTTATATAGTTATATATACAGTGTTCTGCCTAAATGTATGCTATGCCGCAGAAGAGGACACTGGATCTCATTATAGATGGTTGTGAGCCACTATGTGGTTGCTGGGAAGAGCAGCCAGTATTCTTAACCCCTGAGCTATCTCTCCAGCCCCATAGACTTTCTGTAAAAGAAGAATTATTATGCATGTATGTCTGTGTATGCCATGGTATGTGGGTGACTTCAGAGGCCATCAGGAGTTAAAGGCATGTGTGAGCTGCCTGACATGGTTGCTGAGAAATGAACTCATGTTCTCTGGAAGAGCAAATACGTGCTCTTAATGCTGAGCCATTTCTCCAGCTACCTCCAACCCCAAACAGGGGCAGGTGTGTGTGTGTGTGTGTGTGTGTGTGTGTGTGTGTGTGTGTGTGTACTAAGGTCTCTTGTATCCCAGGCTGGCTTCACAGATGTGTGGAGACATCAGGTCTGGGGATGGTCCCCGGACCTGCACCCAGGCCAGGCCTAAAGGCATGACCCAAGCCTGCCTCAAGTTTGGAGACCTGCCTCTGGTTGCACTTCTGTATAGCGATGATTCATCAGGGCGAGAAGGAAAGTAACCTCTGCCTAGTAACTGGTGATTAAAAACAATACTATTGGCCCTCACTAATCTCTCTATACACTATCATCAAACTTCTCCCTCTGAAGCCCTCTGTCCCTACCCTGAAGCCTACTTAAACATCTGCTTGCATCAGTAAGAGTTCCTGCCCAGAACAGGTTCCCTGTTGTGTCTGATTGTCCTTTTGGTGGGCAGGGGCTGGGGAACAGGAGGACACAGCACTCACCTTTCCTTAGTCCTCTCCTCTGAGGGAGGAATTGTGGAGCAGCAGCCCTGCAACTGGTGCCCAACGTGAGGCGATGCGGCAATCACAACCGAGGCCAAGCGGAAGGTGAATGAGACCCTTAGTATGGGTAACACAAGTCAACCAAACATGACCCAGCCCTTAAGGCTCTCTGCCTCATGCTTCAGTCTACAGGGCTGGAGCTCACAGGTGCAAATGCAACAGAAATCTGGGAGACTTTCGTATCGGGGAATCCTGGGAGAGGGTTGGGAGGCTGGTGGTGGAAAGAGAAAAGCACTTTGGTGGGTCCCCTTACCCTACTATCACTTTTTACCCAACCTTCCCCCCCCCCAAAGGCTGACCTTGAGCCTCAACCTTCTGGTCAGCCATCTGTCGGCTGCACCCAAGGCAGGGGCAGGGCGGGAAGGGATGGGCTTAGGCTCGGGAATTAGGTCAATGGCCCCTCCTGCTTCCACAGAGGAAGCAGAAGAACAAAATTGGGCTGATTTCAATAAAGAGCCCAAATGACCAAAAGTAAAAGAATAGAAATGAAGACCAAAGTTCTTGGGGATCCCCCAGGGCCAAGCATGGGAGACTACTATCCTCCTCCTTACACCCTTGGAGATTCTAAATCACCCCAGGAAACAGTTCCCTGTATGCTGCCCTCTGACGGGATCTTCTGTCTCATGACCCTTTGCTACCACGCCATGGGGATTGTCAGAGCCAACATATGCTGAAGCATATCTGCCCCCCCCCCACCAAAAAAAGAAAGAAAGAAAAAGGGAGGATGGTGAGGTACCTGGAGCTTTTCCTGTTCATGTATCCCTGATCCTAACAGGCCTCTCAAATGGTATCCATGGGAGGCCAAGGACCTTAAGAAGTTGAGGAAGGCAGTAGCAGAGGATGGACCTAATTCCCCATGGGCCCTGGCCCTCCTTCAAGAAATAGCTTACAAACCTTGTGTTCCCAAGGATTGGATGGACCTAGCCAAGGCTGTCCTACCCAGTACCCAGTTCATTAAACGGACTGCCTTCTACAAGGAGTACCGGGTCAGAGAGGAACAAAACCAACAAGCTAACCGGGCCATACCCATTACCTATGCCATGTTGTCTGGCACAGGGGAAGCATTTTCAATCACAATCCAACAAGCTGTGGTAGCCGCTGCCCTGTACAAGATCAAGTCAACAGGCCCAGTTACAAGCCTGGGCAAAATTGGAGGAAGGGCCCACAGAGTCACCCATTGCTGGGGTGAGGCAAAAACCAGGGGAATGTCTCCCAGAATTCATTGATAGGGTCCAAAAAAGCATCCACCAAAAGTTGCTCTCTGGCTGGATTAGGGATGAATTTGTTAAGCTGGAGTAGTCTGGGAGGGAATGAACGGGGCCCATTGGGCTGTCTCAGCAATTGGTTATAGCCACCCAAGATATTGGCACCCAACATCAGCAGGCAATCTCTGGTGGCAGCACTGCAGGCTCAGACTGCCTCGATGACCCAAGCAATTGCTAATACATTAGCTGCCCCCAAAAGGAAGCCCAGAAGGGGACATGCTTTAGGTGTGGTCAGCCAGGACACTTTAAGCATGGTTGTCCTCAAGGAGCCCCTAGCCAAAAGCCAAATAAAGGGAATGCTCTTCCTATACCCTGCCCCTGTTGTAAAAAGGGTTACCATTGAAGGGTGGAATGCCACTCTAAGTGTGATCTAGAAGGGCACTCAATAAGAAATGGCCCTTTAAACCAAGGGCGGGGCAACCTCCAGCCCGGTTACACCAAGGAGGCCTGCTGCCCACTGGATGGTGCCTATCATAGAGGGATATCACCCAAAGCTGAGAGTGTTATTAACGGTGGGCAGAGATTCCACTGTTTAGTAGACACTGGGGGCTGACAGGATGGTATTAAGAGAAGAGGAGGTACCATCCTCTTGGGGCCTGTTCCCAGGGCCTGCAATATTGGGTGTGGGAGGGAATACCAAGTGTGAAGAGACAACCACCCACCTAAGATGGGTAGGTCCTAATGGGGAGCAGGGGAAAATCAGGCTTCTCGTTGTCCGAGGCTTATTGACCAATCTGCTGGGCCTGGATTTATTGGGGCAGATGGACGTGATCATCACCACAGACCATCTTGAGTATTTCAATGATGATGATGGGCCCCATGAGCCCTCTGTTGAAAGGGGAGACCATGACCAGGAGAAACATGACTGGAGGAAGCCCACCCTGATCCACCCTCATGCTAGGGGCCACTGTTCCCCGTGTTCTAACCATCTGGTAGAGCTCAGGTAAACTCATATGGGTAGAGCAGTGGCCTTTATTCAGACCCAAACTTTCAGCCCTCTGCTCTTTAGTGGATGAGCAGCTTAAGCTGGGCCATATTCAGCCATCTATGAGCCCCTGGAATACCAGTATTTGTGGTCAAAAATACCTCTGGGTCTTGGAGAATGTTACAAGACCTTAGGAAGTCAACAAAAGAATGGAGCTGGTAGGTGCACTTTTAAGGGGGATGCCTTGGATACCCGAAATACCATCTAATTATTCAGTTATGGTAGTGGACCGCAAAGACTGTTACTTTTCCATTCCTCTTCTCCCTGAGGACTTCAAGAAGTTTGCCTTCTCAGTGCTCTCCCTTAATTATGCTTACCCATATGCCCATTATGAGTGGCAAATTCTGCCCTAGGGCATGACCAATAGCCCAGCCGTTTTCCAACAATGTCTTGCTATAATCCTCCACCCATTTTTACAAAGAGAGGGTTCCTTCTTGTGTGTCTACATGGATAACCTGGTCTTAGGTCACACCCATCCTCAAACCCTGGAGAAATTTGTTGGTGAAGTCTTAATGTCCTTACCTCCCATGGCTTTTGGGTATCCCCTAATAAAGTTCAGAAAATTCCTCTCTTTAGAATCCTGGACATGTCTCTCACAATGGGACCAATGAGGCCCACACTATAGGTGTCAAGCCCTTTAATGTTGTCCCAGCTACAAAGGTTGCTGGGAGAGATCAATTGGCTCAGACCCCAGGTTCTCTAGGTATGGGAGAGCTCAAACCCCTATATGAGCTATTGAGGGGGGAGGACCCCCATGATCTTAACACTCTTGAGACCTATCACCAGGAGATTATACAAAAGTTTCGACACTGGAAGGGTTCCCCTGGGGTTCTGCTATTGTTATGGTTGCTCTTTGGGGGACCCTCCTGCTGGGCATTGACCCAAAAGGGAGATCCTTGGGGTGCTCCCCTGGATGTATTCCCAGTCAGACCAAATGGCTGATTTTATAATCAGGGCCCAGAGTATATCCCTAAGACATTATGGAAGAGATCATGATGATATAGCCTTCCCCTTCTACCTGGTGGACATCGACTGGCTATGCAGGGCCAACCAAAGCTCATCTGGCCATGGCCCTCAAGAGATTTCTGAGATAGCCCAGCCAAACTGTTGACCCTTGCCCAAAGACTGACTCTTCAGATCCCCTGATTAATTAGTTTGGTGCCAATCCCCAGAGCTATTAATGTTTTCACAGATTGGGGGAAACAAGGGTCGGCGTTTGTAACTTTCAGGGCAGGGAAACAACGCCCATGTTTACAAAAGTTTTTCCTGTGCCATGGTTCTGCCCAATACAAGGAGATGATGGCAATACTCATGGCCCTCCGGGGAACCCCCAACCCATGCAATCTTTTCACTGACAGCCTGTATATGGCTAACCTACTTCCACACCTCCCTGGAATGCATATAGGCCTTGATTCTAACCCCAAATCCGCCCTTATGATCCAGCTCCACACAATGGAGGAAAGAAGGGAGCCTATTTATAATCAACAACTGTGTGGCCATCAAGGCCTCCTGGGGCTGCTGTCACAAGGGACTTGCCTTTGCAACCAACTAGAACAAGCTGGGCGACTTCAGGAACTAACACATCTCAATTGGAAAGGCCTCCAATGGGCCTTCTCCAAGGTTCCTGTTAAGGACTTAAAGAAGCTAGTCCACACTTGCAGATCATGCTGGCCTTACCTAAAGGTGCCATCTCTGCAGCCCCGGGGAGTAATCCCTGAAGACTGGGGTCTAATAATATTTGGCAAACTGATGTTACACATTTTGCCCCTTTTGGGAAACTCAAACATGTCATTGTTACCACAGATCCTGTTCAAGAGCCTGTTGGACAAGAGCCCATGCAGGCGAAAAGACCAAACATGCCCAACATCACCTCCTCCAATGCTTTGCTACTCTGGGCCTGCCGAAATGTATTAAGACAGTCAATCCTTACAAAAGTTCCTTCAAAATTGGGATATTACACACACTACTGGTATCCCATATAACCCACAAGAACAAGCTATAATAGAAGGACATCACCAAAGCCTTAAGGAATAGCTATTAAAACAAAAAGGGGGGATAGATAGCCCACATATACAATTATATAGAGCCTTCCTCACATTAAATATTTTAAAATTTTCAAAAGGAGAACACCAATCAAGGTTCCAAAAACATTGGGGCACACTGAATGTTAAACTTTATATATTGGTCAAATGGAAAGACCCCTTTATCTTTCCAATGGAGAGGACCCAACCACTCCTAACAATGAGGAGAGGGTTTGGATACATCTTCCCCACAGGGGAAGCTACCGGCCCAAAATCTTAAGTTTATGCCTAGGTCCTACTCCTCATTGGTGCCAAATAATCATGATCCCAAATATCACAAATCCCTGAAGGCCCCCTTTCTGTTTATCATCCAGGGCCTGGTAATAATGAAGGAGATACTGATGCTACTGGTGATGGTGCTCCCCCATGCCAGTGAAGTGAAGGGTCACTGCTCCCTCCACAATTCCCTCCTCAGAGGACAGGACCAAGGAAAGGTGAGTGTTGTGTCCTCCTGTTCCCCAGCTGCTGCCCACTGCAAGGACAATCAGACAATCAGACAGGGAGCCTGGTCAGGGCAGGAACTCATTTTATTGTTTCAAGCAGATGTTCAAGTAGGCATCAGGGTAGGGGCAGAGGGCTTCAGAGGGAGAATTTTGATGATAGTGGATAGAGAGACTAGTGAGGGCCAATAGTGTTGTTTTTAATCATCAGTTACCAGGCAGAGGTTACTTTACTTTCACTATACAGAAGTGCAACCAGAGACAGGTCTCCAAACTTGAGGCAGGCTTGGGTCATGCCTTTAGGCCCAGCCTGGGTATGGGCCTGATGTCCCCACACAGATGGCCTTGAATTCCTGACCCTTTTACCTCTACTTCCTCCCATGTGCTGGGATGAGAGACATACAGCCCCCTCCCCAGAGGATTTTGTTGTTATTTCAAGATAAGGTCTTTCTTTCTATGTGGCTCTGTAGACCAGGATGTCCTGGAACTCATAGAGGCTTACCTGCTTCTGTTTTCAGAATGTTAGCTCTAAAGGCATGCACTACCATGCTGAGTTCATACACAGTTTTATGTGGTGCTGGGGATGGAACCTGTGACCTGTGCATGCTAGCTAAGTTCTTTGCCACCTAAATCATACCAGTGCCATAATTATTAATATACATTAGTTGCATAAATTAATGAGCTTCACTATGAAGCATCCCCAGGGGCTTGGTCATGCCCAACTGCTGCTCCTATATTCAAATGAAGACATGAGGCCTGTGGAGAGATTAAAGGGCACTTAGGGATCTCACAGGCAGTAGTGATCACCGCAGAGCATGAAGCCGCTGCTTTTAATATTTCCCAGAGACTCAGCGGACCACTTTGGGTCCAAGGTGTATGTATAATGAAGTCACCCATACTTAGATCACATACGTGCGTAAATGAAAGTATGCATGTGCACTTGCACTTGTATGAGTGGTATGAGGTGGAAGTTGCTGACCAGCATAAGCATGAAGATCACAGACCTGGAAGTTCTGGGCTGGGTGCTCCAGGGGCTGTCCTCTTCTGGAAAGAGGAACCAGGCATCCAGGGAGGCCACTCCAGGCTGAGGTGGGGTGGGTGGAGAGGACGAGGTTGTGTGACCATGGGAAGCATTTCTCCATGTGTTGGAACAGCAAGACAGGGGCTTGGAGGAACTCAGAACAGCCTAGAGACTGAGAGTGAGGGGATGAGAAGCCAGGTAGACATGCCACCTTTGGTCCACAGGATACCTTCTGGATCTGGCATTTACCAGCTCACGCTGCCTTGTGCTGAAGACACCAAACCTGTTCGCCATGGTGTCAAATACTGACACAGGCTCAATAGTTATAATTCCTCTACTCCAAGGTCATCAATAGCCCAGGGTACATTATCTGAAAAAAGACATTACCTAGTACAATGGAAAATGATCATGTGATCAGAGCAAATGTGAGCCAGGTACTGTGTCTTCTGGACTCAGGAGTGACAGCAGCAGAGGCATCAGATTCTGGAGAGAGTATAGACTGACTTAGGTTAGATTAGAAGGGCTAGCTCCCTGGTGGAGGGAGTCGTGTATCTGTGCTGAGTGGTGTGGGAGGGACCAAGTGAACAGTGTGGCAGGGCCAGCAGCTGTGTGAGCCATCTTATGAAGGGTCTGTAGCTCTCAAAGTGCTCAGGTTCCTGAAGTGAGGTCTGAAGGGGTTGGCACCTCACCTGACCAGGAGGAGCCTCCTGGAAGGAAGGCAGCAGGGTCACACCAGGAGGCCCCGACTGCCCCTGGGCAGACTTCCCACCCTGAGCCTGGCCATCTGACAGAACCCACCCCTTTCTGAAGGAGAATGTGGAGCCTGCAGCTGAATCCTGAAAACCAGCCATTTCCAGGAACTGAAACTGAAAGCTGCTCTGGCTGCAGGCCCCACCTCTCAGGAGAGGCTGCCAGGGCTCATGCCTACAAATGAGGAGTTGGAGCAAGGTCCAGAGTGGAGCAGGGTCTGGAGGAAACCCAGGAGCTCAGGCTGCCCTTCAGCTGCTCCCCTCCTCTATGTGCTCTTCCCAGGAGGGCCCCTCACTGTGATCTCTTCCTCCTGACCATCCCGGGCCTGGATTCCACTTTTATAAGGTAGGTAGGTGGGAGGCTCCTAAGTGCAGCTTGGCCTATTAACCTGCTCAGGGCAGGAGAGTCTGGGGTCTGGTGTTCCTGTCCGGGATCTCGTGCAGGAGGCACCCTCTCTGATTATCTTTGGAACCACACAGTACCTCATGTTTTGGCTGTAGAGTCCTTCCAAGCCACCAACAGAGGGGCAATGTGCCCTGCACATCCCTGGTTTGCAGGTCTTCTGATGGGGCCTAGATTAGAGAAAGCAGGTTGGGTTTCTCTCATATTTTCTCAGCCACTCTATTGATGTTCCCTTTGGGGCCAGAGTCCAGGGTCAGAACTTCCCACTGGCAATATGGCAATATTGGGATGTCCCAGGATCATGTAAACACATTTTTTTTTTTAAATTCAGATCACAGTGAGACTGGGACTTGAAAGACTGACGTTCTAAGTAAACTTTTGTTTTGTATAACTCAATCCAATTATTTTAAAAGTTGTTGTTGTTTTGTGTGTATGTGTGTTTGTCTGTATCTGTGTGCATGTGAAGGTCAAGGGATCATTTGTGAGGCTGATTCTTTCTACATATGAACTTGCATTGCCAGGCTTGGTGGCAAGTGTGTTTACTTGCTAAGCCATCTCACTGGCCCCTTTAAAACAAAACACACACACACACACACACACACACACACACACACACACACACACAAAAAAAAAGAAAGAAAAAGGAAAAAAATCAAAACAAGTCAAAAACCAGTTCAACTATTTCATCTGCACTGGAGAAGCTGACACACCATGGGCACCAGGTCAGTCTTTCATGGATCATTAGAGCATGTGTGTATATGTGTGGGACACCTGCCCAGAGCCTGCATGCCAGCTCCAAGGCTTTTCCCAAAGACCATGGCGGTGGATTGTTGAGCAGTTTTCCCACCAGCCTGGTCCCAGAGCGGCATCAGCCCCAAACAACACACAGAGATGCTGTATTATATATAATTCTGTTGGCCTGTTTCTAGTATTTCTTATTGGCTAGCTCTGTCTTAAATATTAACCTATTTCTATTAATCTAAGTATTTCCACGTGGTCTTATCTTATTGGAGAGATGGTCTGTACCTCTTCCCTCACAAATCTCTACATCTTGACTCTCCTACTACATCTCCCAGAATACTCCTTGTCTCCTAGTCCTGCCTATCTTGCCTTCCTATTTGCCAACAGTGCTTTATTCATTAACCAATAAGAGAAACATATTTACAGAATGACATCTCCCATCATCTCTTCTTTTCTGTCTAAACAAAAAGAAGGATTTTAACTTTAACATAGTAAAATATATAACAAAACAGTTATCAAATAAGAACCATAGTTAATAATATTTAGTTCATAAACATTACCAAGAATTAAAGAAAATATTCTATCATCTATCCTATCTTTGTGAGTCTAAAGTCTTATATGTAACTTACCTTTAATCCTTACTAAGGAAAACTATAACCTTAACTATCTGTCTTCAACTCCATCAAAGACCACAGAAGGATAATATATAATCTCTAGAAATGACAGAGACAACTTGCTACCTGAACAGTTACCTGAAGTTCTTCTGTAATGTTCTATCATTAGCCTATAAGGCCATAATGTGTCTGGCAGACTCCTCAGCAAAGCAGGAAACTTTAAACTGTCCACCTGTATTGGTAGTTTGTCAGTCACTTTTCTCTGTGTCCTGCAGAAAGTCTGGCAGACTCTTCCATGAGGCAGGAACTCTGTAGCAATGTCCACCTTGTTTTAGCAGTCACTTTCCTGCGTATCTTGCATGTCCAGTTTATACAGCATAAAGTCAAAAGTCCAGACAAGAGCAGTATCTTGCCCAAATGGCTAGTTGTGTCATATTGGAGGCAAACTCCATAATAAGTTTCTTCAATGTCCATCTTCCTTTTTGATGCAGATGGTATTGCCAGGAGTTATGTCTCACTGTCAAGAAAAACCCTAAAGCATTTTAAATGCCATATTCTGTAGGTCTTTGAAAGGTTTGAAGGATATTTATCCATCTCAAATATATCTCTATATATCTAGAAAATCTATCTAACTTAACTCTAACTTTTGACTATCATAGGTAACTATGATCTGTGTTAAACTATACATTACATTTCTAAATGAGCTATCTAAACACAATACCTAAACAAGAGGAGAAATATACATATCACAAAATTGACCTTAAATTTGTATCAATAAATGAAAATCTGTTTCAAAAAGAAGTATTCATTTCTATACCATAATCCCCTGTTACCTTTAAAAAGAGATTGGTTGTGGTCATTAACCATTTATAACCAACTCCATTTTAATGAAAACAAACATTTATAAACAGTATTTGGGAATTTGGGCATTGTTCTTTCCAAACTGCTTCCTGCTGGTAGGGAACACTGTCATGGGGATCTTAAGAAGAAGTAGAAATTCTGGCTGTAGTGGTCTGCAAGGCTGCTTTGTCCTAGCTGTTTGGAATGTTGGATCACCTGGGACACTGCTTGAGGGGGTCTTGCTTGATCAAACCATGTTAATTTGGAAGGAATCCACAGCTTTCTATTTTCTGTGGAAACAAAAGTAGAAATTCTTTTCCCCAGTAACCCGTCCTTAGACTTAAATTTAGAATTAAAAGTATTTTTAAGATATATAAATTGGATCAATTTAACAGCATTTCTTTTAACAGTTGTTATTTCCTCAGCAGTTAAACAATACAAAGACAACACAATAGCACACAGTATCCAGACTCTGTGTGTACTTTCCATCTTTACGTGGCTTTTTTATTACTCTATTTCTTTTTCTTCTGTTTTTTTTTTTTTAATTTTTATTTTTTGAGACAGGGTTTCTCTCTGTAACTTTTGCCTGTCCTGAAATTCACTCTGTACACCAGGGTCACTTAGATCTGCTTGCCTGTCTCGCAAGTGCTGGAATTAAAGGCATGTGCCACCATACCCAGCTACTCTTTCTTTGTATTTTTTTTAAAAAACCAGTTTATCCTGTTTCTTTTTCTCTCCCAAGCCTACGTATATTTTAAAACATACTGTAAACCTTTAGAGGTTTTCCCTTTATCTGAATCTATCTTTATGTTGAGTCAGGGAACTTTCCTTAAAGGAGCTGTGCACATCTCTGCTTGTCTCTAGCAAAACACCTAGAAAAATGGTGTTACTAAGAAGCCTTGTTTGTCTCTGTTCTTTTGTTTTTAAAACCCCTTTTAAAGCTTTTGTTAAGTTTTAAGTAAAAGTTCCTGGGCCCCATGTTGTAGGCACCATTGTGGATCACATTTTCCTGGGAATAAATAGCACCTGGGAATTCCCTGTGTCCCCTAATGGTGAAGAGTTACACAAAGTGAGGGTCGAGGCCCAATAGGATCTGTCCTTGACAGCTCAGAGACATAACCAGTCCAGGCTGCTCCCCACATCTCTACAAGCCTTTTGATGGAGGCTCAGGTCACTGGAGGAGGAATGAACTCCACAGAGCCCTGCATGGGCATTCTCTTCATCAATGTGACTTTTCAATATTTGTATTTTTTTTTAACTGAGTGAGGTGGCTCATACTTGTAAGCATAGCACTTGAGAGGTGGGGCCAGAAGATTCAGTTCAAGGTTACATAGTGAGTTTTAGACTAGTATGAGCTGTATTAGACTGTTATCTACATTTTAAAAGGTATGCTTATTAGTCTATGGTAATTGCATAAAATAATGGGTTTTGGGCCAATGAGCTGGCTTAGTGGGTAAAAGTGATTGCTCCTAAGCCTAATGACCTGAGTTTGACCTCAAGAACCCACATGGGAGAAGGAGAGAACTGACCCCCACAAGTTGTCCTCTGCTTCTACCTGTGCATCTGGCATGCTCAACACACCTTCAACACATATAAATGAGTAAATGTAATAACAGAATGTTTTTACATGATGGCATTTTCACATGAGGGTAAGATCAGTCTTCATTACCATTCTCAGCTGTGTTAAAATCCCAGACAGGAAGCAAGTTAAGGGAGGAGGGTTTATTGTGGCTTATGGTTAGAGAGGATACAGCTCAGCCGAGCAGGAAGGTATGGCCCTAGGGGTTCAAGTCAGCTGTCTGCAGGCATCCACAGTCTGGATACAGAGAGGGGTGTATGTTGGGGCTTGGCTTCATTTCATCTCTTTGTCTTTTTATCTAGTTCTGGACCCCAACCCAGGAGATGGTGATGCCTACATCCAGGGTGAGTCTTGCTACCTCAGGTATCCCACCCTGGAAACTTCTTTGCAAACATACTTATTTGTGTGCCTTGCAAATGCCCTGGGGTTTGTTTGTTTTTTTCCTGAGACAGGGTTTCTCTGTGTAATGGCCCTGGGTGTCCTGGAACTCACTTTGTAGATCAGGCTGGCCTCAGATTCACTGAGATGCATTGCCTCTATCTCCCTAGTGCTGAGACTAAAGGTGTGCACCACCACTGCCTGGCTAGCCCAGGGTATTTTTAATCCAATCAAGCACACAACTAAAATTGGCCTTCATAGGTGCTTAAAGTATATTGTTCCCACTATTACCCATAGTTTTTATTTTGTTTTACTTAAGTCATGACACTTTGGTTAGTTATCAGGAACTTTTTAGTAAAGTTGTGTAATTGGAATAAATATAATAAAATACAAGTCTCTGTGTGTGGTTGCACATGCCTTTAGTTCCAGCACTCGGGAGGAAGAGGTAGATGGATCTCTGAGTTTGAGGCCAGCCTAGTCTACATAATGAGTTCTAAAAAAAGCCAGGGCTATATAGAGATTCTATATATAAAAAAAAAAACATAAATAAATAAAATAAAATACAAGTCAACTTAATCCAGTAGAACCACATGTAGCCTAGGTGAACCACTTTGCACAACCTCTCATTTGTGTGTGTATGTGTGTGAATCTGTGCATTTGTGCGTGCGTGCATGTGTGTGTGTGAGAGCAAGCCCTGGCTTCTGTGACATGCACCTCTTTCTGTATGTTAGGAGGTTCCTGAGTCATGGCTCACAGGTTCTGGTTCTCCTCCCAGGTCTGGCTGTCCCTCTCCAGTGGATTTGCTTGTAGGGCTCTGTTATGAGTAGGTTTTTCCACCAGTCTGGTCCCACCACCTTGCCAACCTCAAATAATACCCTGAGACCCTGTATTAGCTATAAAGCTGTTGGTCTGTTACTAGTTTCTTATCGACTAGCTCTGTCTTAAATATTAACCCATTTCTATTAATCTAAGTACTTCCACCTGGTCTTATCTTACCGGAGAGAGGGGCTGGCATTCTGCTCTCTATCCTCCATCTTCAATCTCCTCCCTATTACTTCTGGAATCCTCCTTTTCTCCTAGTCCCGCCTATCTTGCTTTCCTATTGGCCAACAGTGCTTTATTCATTATCCAATACGAGAAACATACTTACAGAATGGTATCTCCCATCAGGGCTCCCTTCAGAGGCCAGGAGGATCTGTTCCTCATTCTCTTGGATCTCTGACCCATGTGCCCAGAAGTAAACCAGAGACACCAGAGGTATATATTGAATATAACCCTCAAATGTTCAAGTGGGGCCACTCGAACTCCAGGTTGAACTCTCAGCAAAGCCTTGTCAGTGTCTGAGCCATGGTTCCTGCAGCTGCTCACATGAATACTTCTACAGGACTCCTCTTGGTATTTTGTCACAGGGGAAAAGCAACTAATCTAGTAATCTGCAGAAAACTATGGGCTTAGGAAATTTCCCACAATTCACCAAGGCAGTTGCTGTGGTAATTCAGGAGGGGTGTCAACCTGCTCTTTCTATGTGTAGACTGAAGCCAGACCCTCAGGACTGATGAACAGGGGAGCCTGGGGAGAAGGTCTGTGCTGCAGGCAGGACAGTCCATCCCAGAGGATAAGCAAGCCAGAGGATGAGCGAGGCAGAGGATGAGCAAGCCAGAGGATGCTCCCACTGGGATTATGGAGAGCAAAACCTAGTACCAAAAGACTTAAGGGTGGCTGAGAAGCATCTTCCACAGACAAGAGCCCTGGATTTCTAGGGTGCACTTGGGAGGCAGAGGCAGGCTGATCTCTGTGATTTTGAGGCTAGCCTGGTCTACAGAACTTGTTTCAGGACAGCTAGGGCTACACAGAGAAACCCTGTCTAGAAAAACCAAAAACAAACAAAAACAAAACAAAACAAAAAACCCAACAGTGCTCTTAAACACTAACCCATGTCTCTAGACACAGATGCGGTTATTTGGAAAACCTGAGGTTTTGCTGTTGAACCTGATGTGTAGCAGTGTGTTGGTTATACCTCTACTACTGAACACCATTGGGGGAAGTAAAAGCACTTTTCAGAGTGCAACAGGATTAAACAGCCACTGGTGTAAAAGGATGAGTGAAAGGAAGACCTTTGGATCCTCCAGACAGGGAGCTGGCATACGCTGTTCCTTGCTCTGAGTGCACTTCTTCGGTAATCCTGACAACCAGGAAGGGGCGAATAAGAGAACTTCCTGACATTCCAGTGCTTACCTTTGGGGTTTAGTGTTGCAGCAACAGCTAGAGAGCTATCCTTGCCCTCCAAGAATGTGCTCATATACAGGAAGGCTCAGCCAGCTCTGTCTGCTATCAGTAGGTTTTGATGTAGGATTGACTGTAGATCTGAAAGCCTGGACAAGGAGCAGTGTTTCCTGTGCGTATCTGTATTCACAACTATCCTAACTCCCTTTATAATGTACCTACAGGTTGCTCCATTGCTCCCCAACATGGAAGAGACAGTTGGGTTCCCCAAGGATAAACAATTTACATACTTCTCTGATCCTATATTCATTCACAAAGACAGCAATATTTTATCTGTAGAAGTTGTTGAGAAGATTAAAACGGCTGTGGAAGGAAAGGATTGGATTGAAGTGGTCTCTATAGTCAAGGATATCCAACAGAAAGTATCAATAAGCACAGTGAAAATTGCTGTGACTGGAGACTCAGGCAATGGCATGTCATCCTTCATCAATGCCCTTAGGCTCATTGGACACGAGGAAGAGGATTCAGCTCCCACTGGGGTGGTGAGGATCACCAAGGAACCAGCCCAGTACTTCTCCTCCAAGTTTCCCAATGTGGAGTTGTGGGACCTGCCTGGCACAGGGGTCACAGCCCAGAGCATGGAGAACTACCTGGAGGAGATGAAGTTAGACAATTATGACCTTGTCATCATCATTGCTTCTGAGCAGTTCAGTTCAAATCATGTGAAGCTGGCTAAAGCCATGCAGAGGATGAGAAGGAGGTTCTATGTTGTCTGGACAAAGCTGGACAGGGACCTCAGCTCAAGTCCCCTCTTAGAACCCCAGCTACTGCAGAGTATCCAAAAGAATATCTGGGAGAACTTGCAGAAGGAGGGGGTGAAGGAGCCCCCCATATTCCTGGTATCCAACATTGACCCTTTAGCACATGACTTCCAAAAGCTTAGGGAGATGCTGCAAGAAGACATCTTCAACAGCAGGAAGAATGGCCTCTTAGAAACCCTTTTCCATATCTGTGATAAGACTATTAATGATAAAGTAGAAGCCATTAAAAGGAGCATATATGCAGATAATCTAAGCAATGATTTTGGAATCATGTGTCCAGATAATCTGAGAGAGTGTCAGAAAGTCTTCCAACAATTCTTTGGTGTGGATGACAAAACCCTCCAGCAGGTGGCTCTGAATATGAGACAGCCAGATGCTTATTACATGGATGCCAAGCAGTCCCAGGTTACACAGATATATCCACAAGATGGCTCGGCACTGTCTAGGGTGTATGATTCTGGAATCCAACTTCTCTTTACAGGGTTTGACTCTGTCTATTGCTGTTTTAATTCTCGTCATTATAGACACACACAACAGAAACGTGTACTTGATGAAGTTGCTGAGGAAACCAAGAAAATTTTGAGGAAAATCCTGAAAGACTTCATTATCCTTCCTTAGGATGGCTAGACAACTGAGTTCCTCTCCCCAGCTGTATCCCCTCCATCTTCCCACCCTATGAGTTCCAAGTTCCTTGAGGTCATTAGGCCGACTTTTTTTTGATGGGTGTTCCCCTTAGGAAACACCATAATAGATTTTGCTTTGTGCCATTTGTTTAATTTTATTAATTGAACTATCTTGGATTCCAGTAGAGGAGACATTATGTTTTTCTAATTGCACAGAATTTTACACTTGCCACATAGTCACCTTAGCACCTATATTGTTTCTCTTAGAGGCCTCTTGGTTTTCCCTGATCTCTTTCCCCGCTCTTCCTCCCTTTCTAGGGAGGTAGAGCATCCCTTCTGGAATGAGGAAGAGCTTGCTTTTGCCCATTGTCTGAAAGCATGGCTAGTAGAGGCCTGTTCTCTGACCTCTCCTCCGATGTGTCAAGGGAGGGGAATTAGTCCCACTGATAATGGGATTCACAAAGTTCTGTATGAAAAAATTCTAAGTCCCTGGCACTGCCCCCAACAGCATCATGTCTAGTCATGGTCCCTCACACTCTGTGCACCTACAGTCTCCTATTGGATTTGAACTTCTTCAGCCATCCCTAACTCTACAGGCCAAACCCCTGTCCAGACACAGGGGCCCTTCTCTGTCTCACAGGGAGGTTTCCATTTCACTCAGTTTGTGTGTTTTTGTGTTTATCTAGGACAGACACTGCTCTGTGTTCTGCCACATCCATTTCTCTCAATCCTACTTTCAGTAGATGTCAGAGTGTCGTCAGCTTAACTTTGTAACTGTCTAACCCCTGTTCCCTCCATCCTTTCCTTTCATAACACTAAATATTTTCCCACTTCCAACTGTTACCAATGTCACATCCCAGCATGTCTGCTTTCTTGCCATTTGTTCCAGGATGGGGTTATTTTTGCCTCATAGTACAACCCATCATAGCTGAAAGTCATCACAGTAGGAAAGCAGGGCAGCTGGTCACATTGTGTCCACAATCAGGAAGCAGAGAGAGAAATGAATACTGCTCCTCCTTTTCATTCAGCCCAAGATCCCAGCCCATAGGATGACACCATTCACATTCAGAGTGGGCCTTCCAGCCACAATGAACCACCTCTAGAAACGCCATCATTGATATGCCCAGAGGTCTGTTTCATAGTGATTCTAGATCCTGCCAAACTGACTTTCAATAGTAACCACACAGGTACTGTGATAGCAGAGGGGTATATTAGAGTTTTATTGATTTATAGTGGGTAGAAGGTTGGGTGTGGCTCAGTAGTACAATGCTTGCCTAGCACATGGGAGGCTATGGTTTTTAAACCCAGAAAGAAATAAAATAAGTTTGAGACAGAAAGAAAATATAATTGTATTTGTTGAGAAAAATGCATCAACTGTATCATCTTTCAGGCACAAGTACTTTGCAAAAAATCATCACTTAAATGTAAAAGGGAGGCCTTCTTTATATGCTGGGGGTAAAGATGGGATGGACTAAGAAGTCTCAGTGGTGGTGGGAGGGCAGAGCTTTGTTCAACCTTAATTCCAATCCCACCTGCTCATTCTTTTGTTAACATAATTCAATCGACTCACAGGAAAGGTCTACAAAGAAATCACAGAAGTCTTGTTGTCATCCTGATGATGCTCAGAAGTCACTTTTGAGGTCAACTTTATAGCACAGTTTTCATTACAGTATGTTCACTGTAAAAAAGCAAGCTTGCGATTTAAAAGTCATGTGGCTGCTGCTGCTAAACTCGTACATGTCTGTCAGTGTTTGTCACAGGGATTCTAACCTGGCTCCAACACTGAGAAAACTGACCTGACCTGCAGATTATGACTCACTGTTAGCCTGCTGGAAAGCAGGGTGTAAATTCTATGTCTTAGAACATAGATGTAGAGTTTTCTCCTTGTTAGTTGTATATACATATCTATCGTTATCCAGACACAGAAATATGTGTGCATGCTACATATTCATCATACACGTATATTATGTATTGCATATAACATACATTAGTGTTTATCATAAAGAAATAAATAGTATACTATATAAACATGTGTATTGGTTTTTGTCCTTTTTTGTTTTTTTGTAACTTCGTACATGAGTGCTATGTTTATATCACTTCCACCCATCCCTTCCCCCACATACTCCTCAGGTATTCCCCCAAATGTTTCTAATAATGGATTTTTTTGGAGGCAGGGTTTTTCTGTGTAGCCCTGGCTTTCCTGGAACTCACTCTGTAGACCAGGCTGGCCTTCAGCTCCACCTGTCTCTGCATCCAGAGTACTGGAATTAAAGGTGTGCACCACTACCACCTAGCAATGATGGATTTTTTTTAAAAAAAGGGTAATTTTATTGATAAGTGTGTGTATGTGTGTGTGGTCATATAAGTATGGACGCCCAGGGAGGCCAAAGGCATTGGATTCCCTGTAGCTGGAGTTGAGAGGCAGTTGTGATCCTGAGGTGGGTGCTGGGAACAGAACTTAGGTCCTCTGCAAGAGCAGTATACACTCTCAACCTCGGAAATCCTCTCCAGTCCCTAATCATGGCTTTTTAAGAATACAGTTTCAGGGGCTGGGGAGAGCCCTCAAAGGGCCAAAAGCCACTTTACAAGCATGAGGGCCTGAGTTTGATTGTCTAACACCTGTGTAAAAAGGCCTGTAATGAGATGGAGATAAGTGGATCCCAGGAGCCTGCTGGTTGGCTAGTCTAGCCAAATCAGCAACATCCAGGTTCTGTGAGGGACCTTGACTCTGAAAATAAGTCAGAGAGTAACAGAGGAAGACACATGACATTAACCTCTGGCCTCTCCACACACGAACCCTGGTGAACAAACATACACCCACAATTTTTTTTTCAAATTTTCCTTGTTACATCAGAAGTGTCAACACCTGTTTTCATAACCACAGAGGCTCCCCAGCACAGCAGCCTTCTCCCCCCACATCAAATCCCAGGATCTCCTCCATCATTATTTACCAGGGAGGAACTAACACAAAGGAATAAGCTGAATGCAGGAGGCTTGGCTAGTCCAATTGTAAATATTTGTGTCTACCCTTAGGTATTACCTCCCCGGAAAAGACTGCTTGATATACTTTAGCATGAACATGAAGCTACTCTTAATTATTGCTCCAAACAAAGCAGAATGAGCTATAGTGTCAGTGTGAAAGAGCTCTGATTGCCAGGGACTCCAAAAGCTGCTGAGTGACAGACTTGCAGAACTTGGGAGTGAGGTTCTGCTACAGGACAGTTACTGGTCATGGACTGGTTACTTCTGCAGAAATGACATGTCCCCTCCTGGGATACTCACCAGTTCCAGAAGTAATCAGCATTCACAAGGCCCCTTTCCACAAAGTTATATAAGTAATAACAATTTTGAAGCTACCTGGCAACTCCAGGGATGCAGCTTTCATGACCTCTGACCCATGCTGGGTTTGGCTTTTCAGTGATGTAGCCTGAAATACTAACTGCTTTTTGGCTTCTGTGAACTGCTTATTCAGACATGCAAGGATGATTTTGAAGTTGCCCCGACTACTCATCTTGGCAGAGAAGGGTAGCCTTGGCTTGCTTGTGCAGATACTCCAGCCCTTCTTATGGGTTTTCCCCTTTTAAATTCCTTCTCCAGACTGTTATAGATGGCAATCTCAAATTTGCTTCAGAGACTGTTCATCCTGCTAGCAGCAATCAATAAATCTTTTAATTATAATTGCATGATCCTATAGTCTTTTCCCAGGGGTTGCAAACTCCACAACACTAGGAGATCACAGAGTGACCCCAGACTCAGGGCCAGGGGTCTGAGATAGACTTGAAGCCTGGGGAGTCTGAGACCTGTACAGGCCCCGTGGATTTGTTAGTTGCTAGAGCCTGAGGCACACAAACTAGCTCAGAAATAAATAAAACCCTCTGTCTAAAATCTCCCAATAATAACTCCAGATATGCCTGCTTAAAGAATCAGAGCTGGACTTGTTAAAAGTTAATATTCCTTGAAAAAGAAAAAAAAAAACAGATTTGCCAGGTCATCAGATCTCCACTTGAGTATGCAGTTACTCTTTCCAGCTGGCTGCATGACCAGTCTCTCAACCACAGATACTTCTTTTCAGCCCTACTTATCCCATGCTCATAACACCCATCTGAAGCCACCTGAAGGCTCAGGCCTTGCCCTTCTCCCCATTCCCTCTGCCTTGCTATAAACCATTGGATTACATCCCTCAGGCTAGCCACCAACGTCTGCTCCCTTAGTTAGCCACTTCCTCCTCCTGAGGCTGACCACCAAGGTCCAGCTATCAGAGTATTGAAGTCCAGCAATCAAAGGCCCCCTTTGGCTCACCTAATTCACACGCCCAATTAAAATTAAACACCCCATTCTATCATGGACTTTCCCTTTTATAAACTGCCATTTTCCTAAGGGCCATGTCTCCTCTCTATCCAGATACAGACCTTTGTCCTCTGGGAAAAATACCCTGCCTCTTCTCTCTTTTTCCCTTCCCTACTCCCTAGTCCTTTATCTTCTGTGTTTGTTTCTTATTCCCTGCCCTCTGTCCCTCTGAGGTAAATGAATCTCCTTTGTGCTGAGGACTTAGTCTTGGGGGGGGGTCCTAAGCCCATACTTTTCTGCTGATGGCCATGTCAGAGGAGCAGTGTGTGGTAAGTGAAGCACTGATGGGAGAATCTCAGATAGGCAAGCCTGCTCCCCAGGACTTGGGCTTCAGAATGTCTCTTGCTTCTGCTGTGCCTTTTTATGTTTGTATTCCCGCCATGCACAAATGTCAATGCAAAATGCATTCAGAGACATTAATGTGAGACCTAAAACTTTGAAACCACTAGAGAAAAGCAGGAAAAACATGTCAAAATACAGGTAAGGACTTCTGGGAAAGGGCTCCACGGCTCAGGGGATCGTGTGAAAATTGTGGAGGGAAGGGTATGAATGAAAAGGCTGCCTGGCAGCCAGAACAGCCAGAAGAGTGAAGAAGGGACAGGGACAGAATGGGAGAAAAGCTTCACGAGGTATTTGTGTGACAGAGAGTGATTAGCTTACCCAGGGTTCACCAAATTGCACACATTTGCACATGAAAACACATGAACACATCACACCAAGACATCCTCCCACGCGCATCCACGTGAACAAAAAATAGACGTGTCCTAAAAAGGAAGAGTTTGAAAAGCCATTATGAAGCTTATTTTTTGTACAATAATCTAAAGAAGAATAACAGCTTTATAAAAGTGAAGAATAAAGCAAAAGCCAGAACATGCACACTTGTAGATGGCCTTTCTGCTGGATGATGTATCTTTCTGTTCCATCCCAGCTCTCTCAGGCATCTGATTACTCAACTGGCATGCTATTTCATGAAGGAATCTTAATTCGGAAAGCTGTTGCTTCATCTTCCTCCTTTCCCTCACCTGTTCACAAATCTTTAGGTATTGGGGACGCTGGGATCCCAACATTGAGATGCTGTGCAGATTCCGTGGAAGGCACTTGCTCATGGGCAAACAACTACAGAAGCCTCATCCTGTGTCTGAAAACGGTGAGGAAGCGGAGGCTCCCCCTAGTGGAAAGATTAGTAGCCTGCAGAAGGAACTCTGCATGACCTTCCCGGACTCAGCTGGTTTTCATTTGGGAAAGCTGATATAAATAAATCCATTTTCAGCTGAACATTTTCCCACTTTTGTCTCTCATTAATCTTTGCTCCCCAAATCATGGTTATTTAATCATGGTTTGCTCTGGCCTCTTATGGCAGGTGACCCACTGAGCAGGGGGAGGCAATGGCTGAATGGAGACTATTTAAAAAACAAAACAAAAGCAAAACAATTCTGTCCTTGGCCAAACCTGCTAGGCTATAACCTGAGGCCATGTTGGTTCCTGAGGGCAGTGCCACAACCTGGGCCCTGATGATCTAGGTGGCCTTTGCTGCCACATACTGCCATGGTGTCATCTGGGCCTGGGCTGCTGCCTAGGGCCATGTCTGGGTCCATGATCAAGCAGCAGCTAGGGTATGAGTTGATGTTCATGGCTCCTTTTCCCACTGAGAACTGTGCAGATACCTGGGGCCTTAGCAGCTACCTGAGACCATGTTGGTGTGCAAGAACCTTGCTGCCACCAGGGCCATACTAATCTGGGTGGGCTGTGCTGCCACTGGGGCCATGGTGATGTCCAGGAACGAGCTGCTGCTGAGTCTGTGTTCCTGATGCAGCTGAGGTCTGTGATGATGTCCATGGCCCGTGTTGCCACAAGGGGTCATAGGAACCATACATGTTGACATTTGAGGGAGGTGCTAAGCCTGCCTCATCCCTCACTGGCCCTGGGATATCTGGCCTTGCCCCTTGCTGGACACTGCAGCAGGAGAGCAAGTCCCATCCCCCATAGGAGAGCTGGATCCCATACACACTTTGGAGAGATGAACCCACACCTCACCATGGTCATGGGAGAGCTGGCCCAGATGGCATGGGCCTAGGAGATCTGGCTTTGCCTCTCACCTGGAGGGGGGGCAGTTCCAGTGACTTAGCAACCAGCTCAGCTACCACCCAGGCCCACATCCTGGGCCTTGGGTTGGCCCACCCTCTGATCTATCCCATCTGTGACCTGCTGGAGTGTGCGAAAGTTCTGGTCCTATAGAACAATAACAGGGGATCTCCATGACTTGGGGCCACAGTAGACTATCTGAGAAGAGTCAGTGAGAGTCCGTGAAGATGGTGTGTCAGAGGCCTTGATCCAGACCAATGAAATGAACATTTTGTGGGTGGGATAAACTGCATAACACACAGCAGCCTCGGATGCCACTAGGATGAAGAGGTGTTGGAAAGACAGAAGAGTGGGTGGGTTTTGTTTGTCTTGTTTTGAATGGATTTTGTGGGGGTTCTTTTGGGGGGATGCTGCAAGGGTAAGGGTAGGGTATGGAGGGACCGGGAGATGAGCATGATGTGCATGATGTGAAATTCCCAAAGAACCAATGAAGAATTATGTTACATTAAAAAATATTGAAAGTGTCTGGCCTAGATTTCTTTTTAAAATTTTAAAAGGACACATCTTTATATACATATCATATAGTGTGTGTGTGAGTGTTAT